ACCGCCAGGCATTTTGATCTGCACAAAAGACAATTGTTTAGTTCAGATTCACGAGGTTTTCGCGAGGTTTCGTTTGTTATGCTCCATTCGTTAGATTTCGAAGCGATCGTTGAAGTATATGCATCTGTTTCATTAACAAATTGCTAATTATTTTGTAATTGTTTTGTCATGCTTTCAATTAGCGTGACTTTGTTGAATAGATCGAAGGTTTGATAATTTGTTCTTGATGATTTTTAATTTTTATTTTTTATGGATTTCAATTTGCAGATATTTTTTCCGTTTATTGTTCGACAATTGAAATAGAATCGTTTATATCGTATAAAGTTTTCTGTGAATTTATGATATAATATTTTTGCAATCGCAAAATAATGAAAATATTTTAGAAATATCATATGATGATTTAAAGAAAATGATTTAAAAAATATCTTCATTAAACTCAATATTATCATCATTTGTTTAATTAAAAAATAAATAAATAAAATAAAATAAGCGTTATTAATAAATATTTTAAATTATTTCATATACAATAATTAAAAAAATATATACTAAAAATATTGTTTAAAATTATTGTTTCTATAGGACATTAAAAAAATTATATTATATGTATTTGAAAAAGAAATAAAATATTGAAATAATTTAAATAAGTACTTCGAGGAAATAGATGTGAAGGTAATTGTAAAATAATTGTTTTTTTACGAAATAAACATTTATTTTAACAAATCAACAGCGTAAAGACTAGCGTCTAGAGACTAGCTCGACGTTTTGTCTGACCTAGGTAACTAGAGATCGCCAGGAATATATCGCACGAAGAGAAATTTCAAACTCGTTCGATCTTTATGAAAATTGAATCGATCTTCTATTCTCTTCAAACTCTCTCGGCTTTAAGCAAGTATTTTATTTAAGCAATATGTGCGTGAAAATATGCTCTTTTAAACAACGAGTCCGAAAACCTAACGAATGTATTGCTTTAATTGACAAAAACTTTGCAGTATTTGCTTTAATCGCAGTCTTGATCAACAATATTTTTACGTCATTTATTTTTACGTATTTCGATATAGAAATTTCCATCGAATTTTCAACGAGAAACATCGTGGCACAGCGTATATAAAATAGTTATATAACATACGTATATATAATAGTAAAACATGAGCAAATGGAACGTTCAAAGATTGGAAATTAAATAATTGAATTAATTTTAATGAAAAAGAAATTGATTGATTGAAATTTAATTTCTCGAGAGATAAAATTATTAAAATCCGAAAATTATAATGATAATTTTTATATAAATTTTTTCATATTTCAATATTATTGAATTTTCTTAATATTTAATAATAATTTCAATTATATTAATTAATAATATATCTATAATTATGAAATACTGAAATATATTTTTAAATATCAATTTAAAAAATATTTGAAAAGTTATTAAAACAATAAATAATATCCTTCAAAAGATTAAATAAAAATATTATGAAATGAAAACTTAGAATAATAGTTTCTAACATTAGAAATAGTAAATTACTATCGCCAAAAGATATTTGATTTTTCACATATGGAAATATTTATCCCTATAATTAAAAAAAATGTACGTATACGCGTGTTGAAAAAAGTTTTAAAATTAATTAAAAGCAATTTTTAAAATACAAGTTAAGACACATAGAATAAAATATTTATGCTACAATTATTTATTATTAATTCTAAATTTATCTCGTTTCAACAAGTATTTCAAAACTTGCTTACAGCCGATTATTAACATTCGTAGATTAACTTTTTTTTCTGCTAGAGAAGAATTTTATATTTGTTAATATTCTATGTTAAAATAATTCAATATATTTATAAATCATTTTAATACTTTTACGAATTTTCATACTTTTTTCTTTAATCTCTTCAATTTTCTTCGATAATATTTTTAACCAGTCCAACGCATTATCGATAATTCTAAAGGATTGATTATCGCTGTGATTTCATTCAATTCTATAAGCACTTAATGAACTACGAGTGCAAATAGAATTATTTAATAGAATAGAATTGAATATAAACTAATCAATTCTCAATACTACCAAGAAAGCTTTTATTTGCACCATATAATATCTTCGATATTTATTTTATTAATTATTGTTAAACATACGGAGTTCAAATATATATTAAATTTTATTGTTTTTATAAAATTTCGCTTAATCGAGAGAAAATGGATGCTTTAATTTTGTATTCAATTTAATTAAATTAATTATCTTGGTAATACGAGGGTAATTGATAATTCATCTCTTCAATTCTCATAAAAATCGAAAGTCTAAATTTTCCCTTATGGCAGCTCTCCGCCATAGTTTCACACTTTGACACATTTTTTTTTTTTGCTCACCTCGTGTCTCGATAAATGATTGTAATTAATAATCATCGCGATTAATTTGCTACGTTATCTTGCTAAGAAAAATTCATTTTTTTTTTTTGGTTATTTTCCTTTGTTTTTTTTTGTTGCTTTTTCATTTCTTCTTTTGTCTCTTTATGTACATTTGCGTTAGGTATATACCTACGACATTTTCACATTTTGTTTTCTACATATGAGACTTTTATTTTTAATTATTTATTTAATTAGTTATTTTTTATTCTGTTTTTTGTTTCTTTTAAGGCCATACTTAAGGAAAGGAGCGTTTTATTAAACAATTTTAATTTTCGCGTATGTGTGTTTGTGTGTTTATCACCGTGAAAAAGATTTCAATTTTAAGTTTATTATAAGATGCTCGATTTTTTAATTTTTCGAATACATTCTTGTTATTAAAATTTTGTATAAATATCTCTTATGATGAGATTTACTTTGTCGCATAACTTAAGACGAGGCAATTTATTGACTATTTTCTCTTTTTTATTCATTTTTTTCAAAAGAAGTTGTAATAAAGTTATAATAAATTGCTACAATTGCAATTTTTTCATATAGAAACATATTAAAAAACTATTTCACTATTTTTATAACATTGTTTCAAAATTATTCCAATATAATATTGTTTTCTATGTTAATTAATAAGATTTTAAAATATTATATATATAAGATACAACATCAAAATATTAAGAAATAAGTTTTAATATTTAGATTATTTAATAAATATTTCGTTAGTAAATAATATATTGATAATTAAAAACTTGTTTTTTCATAATCTTCAATAAATAGATATTATGATATCCAAAATGCTTTACATAAAAATAAAATTTCGCCTTAAATATGCGGTTTCAAATCTTGTTTTCAAAAAATTATGTGAACTGTTATCATTAAAAATGTGATTATGTTTGTTGCAGTGATTCTTACGGATTCTTATAGAACGGATAGATATAGATAGAAAATTTTCCTCACATAAAATTTATAAGTAGAGATTTGGTACAATATTACATACATTTTTATTATTGTTATTGTTGTGTCTTTTTTTGTAGTTAAAAATTTGCAAGAATCTCTGCAAAAATACAGTATGAGTGCAAGATGAAAAATATTAAAGGGGGATTGTTGTTTTCAAGAATACGGAAGTCTTGTTGGAGAAAATCAAGCAATTTATAGAAGTAAAAATAATAAATAATAGTTCTAATTTTAATATATAAAAACAAATATATTATTAGTAAATGTAAACTGTTAACAAATTAAATAATAGATTTAATAAATCAGTTATATTTTTAATAATAATATTTGTGTAATATCATTTATGAAAAAATTATATTATGATTTCAAACCACTTTATTTTCTCTTCATAAGATTTCCTTCTCCTCTAAAGGCAACAAAAATAGTTAATCATTCCAAATTCATCTTGCATGGGTGTATATCCACGGCACGTGGCACATCTAAATCTAGACTTGCGTCTATAAACTCGAAAGCAGATTGCGCGATGATCTCAACGTTGCGCGTCAAGTATATCAAACTGTATTATACACGTATAATATATTTGTATATATTTATTTTTCTTTCTCAAAAGACTATTTTCCGTCTTCATCGAATAAATCAAACAAAAGAATCAAAATCATCGTGTGCACATGTCTATTCAATTACCATTTAAGCGTAACACAGATCAAGTCCTCGAGTTTTGCTTGTTTTTTTTTTTTTTTTTTTTTCGTAAAAATCACTCCTTTCTTCTCCCTTATTTAATATTTTCAATCTTAGTCTCCTTTTTTTTCCTTTTTCTTCTCTTTCGTTTTTTTTTTTTTTTTTTTTACAATATACCGGAAGGTTCAGAGTTGCTGCTAGGATACTTCTAGTAGAATCTTAAGGCCACGATACCAAGTTAATGAGCGATCGTATAACGAGTCATCGCTAAATGGGAAACACGCTACGGCGTCTAGGAGTTTAAAATGGCGCGCATTCTCCCTATTCTCGATCTTTCTTAGCACGCAGAAAGCAACGCAGCAACGAAGATTGACGAAGAAATATCGTTGCTCGGTCCCTTTTCCATCCTTCTTCATTTTTACGATCGAAAACATTTCTAATTGGACGAACCGCAATTTCTTCAGGAAGCATTTGAAAAATCAACTACTAAAAAAAAAAGTACTCCTGTTTATCGGTAAATATAATATTTCATCATCAGTCATGCTACGAAGGAAACGAGGTGTATCAGTTTAAAAAAATATCTCTCTCTCTCTCTCTCTCTTTCTCTCTCTCTCTTTCTCTCTTTATTTCTCTCTCTCTCTCTATCTCTTTCTCTTTCTCTCTCTCGTTCGCACTTTCTTTCACTCTCTCCCTTTCTCTCTTTATTCTCTCATCTCATCAGTCTAGTCAAATGTTCAAAAAAGATTCACGCGGTCATCAGGTATCAAAAAAGAATTCAACCTCGACTGACCATTTTGTCGTAAAATTGTAACATCGTTATCGAAATCACATTTCGATTGTATATCATCATTAGATTACGGATATTTGTGTCATATTTTTTGGTAACTAATGAATTCTAAACATTTTTTTCAGTCTCTAAATATTATAACTTCATAATTTACTATACATTGTACATATTCTTTTTTGGTTCTTTCCTTTTTACAGGTTTCAATTTTTCATAAAGATACAAACATCCATTATCTAATGATTGACATTAAAAATTCTCGAGATCATAGATTCGGAAAAATTCGGACAGAATCGGGCAAACTCTTGTAATATCTTCGTACCTGTTCAATCCTAACCGAATTTGTCCGATCTATTCCGAAAGAACACGAATATATCGAGATCTTATCCGATCCGAATATTTCCGATTTTTCCCGATATTCAAATTTTTGAATCATGGAACAATTTCGCACACTTCTACGTATCGTCAACGATCGAACCAATCGATAAAATATTATTATCCTTTTTTTTGACAATAATATCGGAACTATTTAATATATATAACAATCCCGAATCACTCGTTTCTGCGTGCAAATGAAAACATCGGTAATCAAAACGAGAGGTACTTTCCGTCATCGTGGTCCTGTGAGAGAGAGAAGAAGAGCTCTCTGGTCAACAACAGCTCTTCGTTCCTCTTGAATTTTTTTTCTAAAAATGTTCATCTTGTAGGGAGCGAGATCGACAATCGTCCAGGGGGAAGGAATTAATCCTTGAAATGTTGCTCATTCTTTCCTCTTGAGGGAGGAGAAGATACGAGACACTCGCCTTCATTCAAACTGGGGCGCTAGGACGTCGCAGAAGCGACGAAAGCAATGAACGTCGGGGTGGCCGTCGCCATGGTCGACGCAAACGACGTTCCTCGTCCGCGTAGGATGACGCCTGCCCCTCGACGATCCCCAAAGGTCAAGCTTTCTCTTCCTCCTCGTCGATCTCCTCCGACGATTCCGAGGAGGAGGTGATGAGAGCGGTCGAGAGGCTTGGAACTTGGGCTGAATATGGGAACGAGGTCATCCGGACTCGTTGAGCGTTCCAACATTCTGGCAGGGAATGAGAACCGTCATCCGTGCATTTGTCTGAATGCGACTTCTCCATCGAGCCTAGCTCCATCATGGACACGCGTCTTGTGGGTCCTTTCTTGTTATCTATAATGATGAAATTGTTTATTGTTATACATGAAAAAATTAAATGTTTCTATTTTACGATAAAATATTTTTCTTTTAATATTTCAATAAGATTAATTGGTATATTTGAATTAGCTTCCTCTTTATTTCAATGATTTTAATGATCTTGAAATATGATTAAAAAATTTTGAACAAACTTAAATTGCTTATAAATTAATAAATAAGCTTCAATAATACTAACTTTTGCATTTATTTTGGCTTCTAGAATTGATCTTCCAAAGATGTCCCATGAATATATTAACTTCCTGTATATAAATATTTATTGATTGATTTTCTTCACTTAAATTATTCAGATATATTCTTTTCACTTTAGAGATTAATTTAATTTTTTGATAATCATATTTATAATTTTATCTTATGCCATTTAATCTTAAATATTAATCCAGATTTAATTTAACTTTCAACCTATTGAATGTAATTTTTTTTAAATAATAAAAGAAAATATTTTAGTTTATTTTTATAGATAAAAATATTCTGAAAAATACGCCAATATTTACTATTTTATTTAAACAAGCTTCGAATAGTGTAACTAGCAGAAAAATCATAAATTCTTTTCGACGTTTATATCCTATAATAAAGTTGCATATTTAGTGGCAATGAAATCACGACTGATAATATACTAATATTTCATGATCTGCAACGAAATATGACCGTTTTATTCCTAATATTTTTAATATTTCCACCCTATTCAATATCAAGTATATTTAATACTTCAATACTGAATTTATGATTCATCTTATATTTCTTCTATATTTTATTATATTTCATTTCTAGATCGTATTTTGTACAATTAAGAAAATAATGAAATAGAGATAGAATATTTCTTTTCTATATGAAATTTTGTTTTCAAGAAAATTGATTTTAAATATTTACTTAGCATACAATTTACAGAACATTTCCTAAATAATCCTAATTTTTAAATAATAAATTTTAATTTTGTAATTTTCTTGAATAACTGAAGGCATAGAATAAGTTGTAAATTTCAAAGTCTTCTCTCTCTCTATTTCTTTGTTGATCGATCAAATTTTAAAATTATTAATAAAATAAAATTATTTTAAGGATATTTTAAAGGATATTTTTTCTGATGAATGAAGAAATGTTTTTTAAAGAATTAAAAACTTTAAGTTGTTTTAGTAAAGTTTTTAATTCTATTTAAATAAAAATAAAAAATTTAAAATAATATAGCAATTTCATCTTACCTTTCTCATATTCACTAAACGTTTTTGTAGGTGAATCTTCGGTCTGTTCTGTCCCCGTTAACGTGTATTCATCACGCTCGTCCACAGTTTCCTGGCAATCGATACCATCTGGAGTGCACACGCTCTCGCGACGGAATAGACCAATTACTGACTGGACCTTTGGCTGCTCGATTCCACCTTTAATTAGAAGGAAGTGTCATTAATGAGGTTAATGAAGATTCATGAAATGTTTCGGTTCGGCCACCTGGAATATCTCTTTCTTGAAATATTTCTGTTAAGAGAGATTTTACAGAAACGACTTTTGAATTAATATCTTTTTATTTTTTTTAGGAAATAAAATAGGAACTTAATTTAAAACTCATTATGTCATATCTGTTATATGAAACGCGGAAAATTGCGTTTAAAATTTAATTTCTATGAGAAATGTTTGAATATAGAATGGGGAATATTAGCTCATTTTTCATCGGACATACGCTAAGTGAATAAAAATCTATGGATCTTCAGATTGAATAAATTACGGTCGTTATTAAGCACTTTAGTGAGATGTTGTAAGAAACTTGGTAATCGAATATCAATGGATACCAATAAATATCAATATATTATATAAGATAGAAATTATCTGAAAATCGTATATATATAATTAAAATAATAATTAACAGACGATGAAAAGAAAAATGAAAAGAAAAAAGAGATGAGAAAGAAAGAAATATAATAAAAAACGAGAGGAAATATGGATAGAAAGAGAAGAATATCTCTCTAATATATCTCTATTTTAAAGTAAATTTTTAAAAATTAGAAAATTCATTATTATTAATATACACTGTCATTTCAGGTGGCCAGAACAACCGAAATACATCATAAGAAAACGTGAAACAGAAGTGCTCGTGAAAGAATTTGACAACACAAAAAGTATCAACTCAATAATCTGTTGTTGAGTTTAAGAATATACACGAAAGATTCGACAAGTAAGTTCAATGAATGCACGTTTCTCAGTGTGATGCACAATCAATTGTGTACGTAGCGATGAGGTGCGCGCATGTGTGTATATGTGTGTGTCTGTGTACACATGATATATGCGAGCTTCAAAGGGGACTGGGTAACCCAAAAGTCGAAGAAGAAAAAACGCATTCGCAGATTTGTAGATCGAGAAAAAGTAAAAGAACGACATATAGAAAACTCTGAACGATTTGAGTATATAAAATTTACATGTTCTTCGGCCGGAAGTCCGAGATTTGTATCCTCCGAGCTCGTTAAGCTGGCCTGTCTTCAGAAATACGGCTCTCCTGTAAATCAGCGTTTTTCAATATTTTACGTACCTTTTTTTATCTATTAGCCGAATCGAATCACAAAAACAACCATCTTATTTTTATAAAACATTCGATAATATAAAATAATTGGGAAAATTGAATGATTGAAGACATTTTTACAAACAGATGCCATTTTTAGAGACATGGTAATACACGTCCATGTGTATTTCTACTTGTTTTAGATGTTGATTAAAAAATCAAATCGACCTTGCATCGAAAAATAGACCTGCTAGGGAATACCTGAAACAACGCGTCAATATTTAGAAAGTTTGGCGAGAATTAATAACTTATGGAAATAAAAAGTTTTCTCTGCAATGTGAGAGGGGTTACCCGAGCCCCCCCATCGAAAAATAATAATTGCATGTCAGAGTTTATTTTAGGTGTCGAGGAGAGTCAGATTGAATATAAGTATTTAATAGGATAATAAGTTTAATTAAGATGATTCAGAAATAATTTTTTATTAAATTTATTTCACCAACAATCTTCCTAACAACAAATTTATTTATACAATGAAAAATTGTATTAAAACTTAATAAAGTGGCAGCCAATGAAATTAGTGTATCTATTATCACGAATTTATATCAATACACTAATCCATGGTAAAATGATACATGTATATTTCTATATATTGGTCAAATTAATTATTCAATCATACCTAAAAATGTCGCCGAGGGAGAACTATAAGCCAGATACTCTTTGTTAGAACACCAAGCAGGAAATTCATTTTGTTTGATCGGATGGCCGGAATCGTAATCGTCCTCCCTTTTCCATGGCAACATAGTTTCTGTGGCTGTTGGTGTTGTTACCCTGTAACTTTCTAAAATTTAGGAAACAAGATAAAAATCTTGAAAACAAACTCTATAAAATTCAACGAATCAAAAACTGGAATTTAAGAAAATTTTTTTATTACCAAAATAGTAAATGAAAAATAAAAAACTCATTTGTTTATTAATAATTTATAGTCTTAATAATTAACACAAAAGAGTTCATATTATAAAAAAAATTGAAATGACGTTTCCAATCACTTTTATATTTAATTTTCAATTATTCTTTTTATTCCTTTTTTATAATATTAAAGAATCGAAGAATATTTATTTTTATATCATTGAAAAAAATTTTGAAGTCGATTAAATTTAATATAAAAAATCGATATCATCGACAATGCTTGTCGCGATAAACTCACCGTCTCGCCCTAATTTCATATCCGGATCGTCGGTATTTATGGTGTCCATTGAGGTAGTGGTGGTGACGCCGTGGTGGCCATCCGTATTCACGTTCAACGAATCTATGGAAATTGAGCGTCGAGAAAATTATAACTGTGAATCGAGCCAAAAATTAGCTCTACCCCTTTCATCCCGTTTTACATTCAAAGAAACGCTTCGACAGGAAACTCTGAATTATCCTTTCCTGGAGCTAATTTCTCAAAAGAATCCACACGACTGGAGATAATTTGTCCAGAACTTCCTTAACTTTTTTAACAACTAACCGAAAGCTTCGTTGAAATTAAAAAGAGAAAGAAAGAGAGAAAATTAAGAAGGAAGGGGAGGAAAAAAAAGAAGAAGAAAATCATCTTCTCACCGGAAGTGCGAGCCGTGAAGGTAATCGCAGAGTCCCAGTCCTCCTTGCTCGAAGGCTTTGAAGTATCTCCGTTTTCCAGCTCGTACAGGACACCATTGATGTAATCTACGAGTAATAAAAGTTCACGTATTCAAACGAAAAGAACCTTTTGATCGGTGAGGAGGGCTCATCGATATCCCTTTTGCCAATTTACCTTGAGTGAACAATTTGGTTGATCCGTTTTGCTGGAACTCAGGAAAACTCACGTGATTCTGCTTACCATCCTACACAGGTTGGTGAAGGGAAGGTAAAGTTATTTTAATTGCAAATTATAGTAATCGTCGATTCAACGAGGAATGCGACACGTGTTCATTTTTTTTTTTTTTTTTTACGCGAGGAACATTCTTACTTTGAGCAATTTTTTACTGCGCTTGTGACGATGCTTGTGCTCTCCCATCATCCGTCTTATGTTCATGTGCATTTTGTAATTGACTTGGGTTGACAGGTCGCGATCGTTCACCGCGTGTCGGCTGTAGCTTAAACGCCGATGCTGCAACAGTTTTGTTCCATGCTGTAGAGAAACGTTATAAATCTGATTTGCCTTCGTTCTTTCGTATATGCAGGGGTTTTTGTTACAGATGTACAACAAATTTACGAGCTACATACATATTGAAACATTGAAGAAGCATAGTGTAATTTTATAATCCAAGGCGCTTCGAAAGTCCCTTAACGATCGTTCATCTTTCAAATGCCCTGCATGAGCAACTCAAATTTGAGAAATTAAATCTTTTTTTTTTTTTGATATAATAAAAATGAAATCAAATGGTTAAAAAATCTTGTCAATTCTTTTACAAGAATTGAAAAGTATGTGCATTTATAATAAAACTCGATTTCATCGAATCTGTTGAAGGATGAAGGAATGAAGGAAATTCAATTATTCTCCTCATTAGTTACAATTTTTTGTTCAAATAATAGAAATTTCACGTTTCGATGAATGGATTCAATCGATAGAAGTTCACTTGATCGAGTACTAATCAAAATTTCGTTTGATGAAAATTCAATATAATTTCTTTTTTTTTTTTTTAATGTACTCCACATTTCAAGAGAGATTTAATTCAAGTTTCTCTTATATGAATCGTTCAAAACAACGATGCTATAAGAATGCTTTTAAATTTACTTATAATATTCAAAATTATATTTTCTTTAAATAAATTATATTTTCTGAAAAATATTATAACTAATTACTCCTCAAAAATTTTGGCTTCTAACAAGAATACATTTAAAAATAATTATTCGAAATAAAAATCTGGAGATTATAAATTTATTTTTATGATCTCCAAATATAAATTACAAAAGGATCAATCAAAATAGTCGAATCGATCATTTATGAGAGGCTCATATAATGATAATTAAAGTGTAAAATTGATGGATGAAATTTAAAGCGGTGACAGAATGTCGTTCGAAAGAGAATCGCGATCAGCAAAAGTTTTCAGGGCCGTGCATACACAATACAATACATGTAAAATTCTCGTGCTCAGCAAAGTGGGGTTTCTTACCCTCTTGTACGGCTTGCAAAGTTCTTCGGCCAATAGATGGTGGATCCTGGCGTCCGTCAAGTCCTTCTTGGAAGGGTTGTACTCCAATTCTTGGAGATCAATATTCCAGCCCGCTTCGAGCTGGCTGCAACTTGGACTGGAAGGAGAAAGAATGAGACTGCATTTTTATGACGGGCTGCCACTTGAAGATCGATACTCGGTGCTTTCGAGGAGGGTTCGCTGTTCAATCGAGATACAATGCAGACTTATCTTCGGTTATGCTTCTTGGCCAGTGTGTATATAGGGTGAGTCATGGAGCATCGACACTCCCAAAGCAACTTGTAAACCGGGTGAATGTACTATTGGATGGGAGACTGTTGGGTCGTATCCTTTCCATCTTCTTTATTTATTATAAGAGATTTTATAAAATTTGTGGTTTAACTTTCTTTCGGAAGATTATTTTGGAAAATTTATTTTAATCGTGTCTAATTATAATTTGTAATTGATATCATATCTTTTCGTTTTCGATTATTTTTAAGATTTATAGATTGTCTTTTTTTTATAAAATAGGAATTTATTTTAATTGTGTCTTAAGTCAAATTTATAATAAATTTAGAAAATGATAGAAATAAAAGTTTTTAAAACAATGAAAATTCCTTATATTTTCTTCTTGTTTGAATAAAGTTGTTTATATAAAAATAAATTTACTTTAATCGTTATTTATAATGAATATTAATAGTGAAATAATTTAAATAAAATAAATGATAAATAAAATAAAAATATAATAAGGATAAAATTTTTCTGAATTTTTAGAAACACAGTGAATTACTGCATCATATATCGCGATCTTTTTTATCATATCGTAAACGAATTTTTCTCTTAAAAAACCATTAAATATTCCAATGACTCACCCGGTATATTTAACATCATCGCCAATCTCCCTTCCGTTCAATCTTCCGTGACACTAAATTAAAGGAAACAAAGCACTGAACTGCGAATATCGAGCTCAGAGAACACTTTGACTACTGCTTTCGTCCCATCTACGATTTCAGACGGAAAACTTTTTGTTAGCCAACTTCCGCAGATAATTAATATATATTTTCACCGTAGTGTCCGGAGAGTGTTTTGTTCTACACCTGTTACGATTAAAGAAGCATTCTTCCAGTTTCTTATTGTGGAAATAAACAGGTCAAGTACGAAGAAGATGATTCAATGAAGTGGGGTTGAAGCGAAGAGAAGATGATGCGAAAAGAGAAGAAGAAAAAGAAGGAATAGAAAATTCTACCTTCCATTGAATTGTCCCGTGTTGCTATAGTTGCGAAATATAGCGGACATGCTTTCAGTTCCACTGATATTGCCGATGGTGGACGCGTTCCTTCTGATGTAATCCAGAGCGTCTTTCATAGCGAGTTTCGAATACGTTTCCAATATTTTCGGCTCGGCACCGTAGTGATTCCTCACCAGATACGGACGAATAAATTTATTATCGAACCGTTTGAATCTGTAAAACGGGACAAGAAAAGAAACGAAGAAAAATGTTATGGTATAAAAATAGTTTTATTCTTTGCGTTAAGATTTTGGAGAGAAAATGATTAAGATAATAATTGATGGATACTAAATTGTATGAAGAAAAAAGCTTCCATTTAAGCTCTTTTAATTTTTGTTGTCACTATTAGAACGTAGAATTGATATTATTATCGCGTAACAAAATTAATCTCTTTCCTTCTTGACAAATATGGAAGCTTTCTTTTTTTCTTTTGAAACTTTTCTCGATTCTTAATATATTGTAACACTTATCTGTTCATTTGATTTTTTAATAATTCAAAATAAATTCGTCTTATATTTCTTTATATATTATATTATATATAATATATATAGAATATGTATATAATATAATATATTATATTTATTATTTTTAAAAGATACATATTGAAATATGTCATCTTTTATCTATAACTAACTAACTTATCGATTTTTGTACGAAAGATATTAAAAATTTATAGATATTAAAATAAATAAACAATATTCTTTTTTTTAAACTTTGAAGATATATTAAATTAAAACAAATAATAAATCGAATTATAGATTTAAAAGGTCGTTTAAAAGAACAAAATTTTAGGGATACTTTATTAAGTAGAAATTTTTATCTTTAAAATATATAGATCGTAAAAATCCAAATACTTTCTTAGACGCGAAACGGTAATAAATAATTTACGATCAAATAAACCAGCGATCAGAATCATCTGCATCCCACCTAACATCTCGAACGACTTGTGAGTCATCCTATTAGGGGAAAGGCGAAAAATCGATAAACCTCCCTAGTGTTTTTCATCAAATAAGACGAATCATTCCATCAAGAAGTCAAAAACGTTAGAGAAAATCCATTTCGAAATATTATCGATCATAAAACATGTGAAATACATACTTATCCCGAACGTGATAATTGCCATGCTTGCCCAAAATGTCCTCGATCCCAGCCATCACGTGGTCTATTATCTGCAAACGTAGACGCCATTTTCCTTTACTCAGCCGATTTCATTAAGCACATTATTTCCCTTATCCTTTTACCGACGTATACACACGTGCACACTATGCGCAAATGACTCGAAACGTACGAATTCACACGATGCAACACGGTTTTTATCTACTCTAGACCCATTATTCTTCCTCCTATGATACGTTCATTTAGTGGTTACCGGTAAAAATCAGTGCAATCTTCTCTCGTACTGAGCGACGAACGATTATTGATTTTCTCGCGTATCGTAGTTCGCTGCTCTCTCCCTTTTTTTTTTTTTTTTTTTTTTTAATATTTGCGCGAACGATAAGGGCGTATAACCACGCGTTCCCTACAATTTATACATCTAGCTTCGCCATTCTTCGTGCACCGACTTTTTTCTTCCACGACTTAAACCATCCCCTATTCGGTACATTTTTATTTTACGGATCGATCGAAACGAGCGAAGCGACGTTGAAGTTATGCCTCGTTACGAACGATCGCGAACATCATCGTAGGCAAACAGTAGAACGAAGACAATGAGGCACGTACCCTTTCGTGGATCCTCTCGTTCATGGTCGGCTTCTTCTTTTCGGCTCGTTTCACATTCAGGATCTTTACGAGGGGCTTGATCGTGATTCCCTGGAAACGGATGTTTTTTATAGCAGCGGATGTTTCAACTTGGAGAGTAACAGTTCAACTTGTAAGTGGTAATTGCGATTGATAAGAAGTAATACTGAGTTATATGTGAGGAAATTGTAGGAGGATGTACGTAGAAGGGGATGGGTTTTGATATATATTGATTTTAATTGTTTTCGTGGCGTTGGATTGAAATAATTTTTTAAATATATTATAATGTATAGTTGCAATTAAGGAAGGAGATTGATACAAGAAAATTATTATTATATATGTATAAGAAAAGATTATTTTTATTATACTTTTTATTGGATCAATATAATTTTTTAAAGATTTTGTTATATATCTTGCAATTAAGAAAAAGAATGATATTAATTTTAAATTATTGTAAATTATTATTTATAAGGAATAGTTATTTTAATATTATATTTAGTTATTTTTGTTAATATTCTTTATTACATCAAATTAAAAAGATTTTGTTTTGTTATTTATATTATATTATATTATTTATATTTAATTATAATAGAAATTTATTAAACTAATTCATTAATTCAATTGAAATTAATTTTCTTTACAATTTTTTAAATTCTTTATAATTTCTTTTAAGTTTTTATTATAAATAATCTTCCTTTGTTTTAAATAATAATAAATACGAGCGTTAACAGCTATAGTATGGAATACAAATATAAATCACGGTACGAATACAGACAGAAAATAGCAACATTCGATTATCATTGAAATTCAAAATATCGATTTAACGCAGTCGTATTCCGGACACGGAGTAGAACGAACGTGTTTCTTTTTACTTGTCGTAAGAATATTATATTATTTCGTTAAATAGTTATAAATTATTATTATTATTAATTTATTTTTTACTATTATTAATTATTATTAATTAACTTCGTATAAATAGTTATAAACTAATTTATTATTGTGATTGTAAAAAATTGTAAATATATAAATAAAATATATCATATATATTTTAATTATGTGTCTAAAAAAAATTGAAAAGAATCCTCATTCGTAATATGATACTAATGATAGATTAAAGGGTATTCAAATTTGCACACGTTTCTAGTTTTAGGCTAATGATATTTAACCTTTAATTATCAGGGTGGAGTTCAAATGACCCTCGCTATTTTTTCAATGATACATTATAGCTTCTTTGTGTATTCAACACTTTCGATACATTATTGTATCCCTTTATTGTAACCCCATGAGGAAGCAGAAATCAAAATTGTCATCGATAAATTTATATGAATCTATCCATATAATATAATAAAACAAAAATAAATTGATTTTGCAAGAATAATACAGAATAAATGAATTGTTCAGTTTATGAATTTATTTTAATCATATTTAAATCGTAATATTTGCATATTATTGATATTTTTGTATTTAGTTTTATTATTTTTTCCTTTTTTGCAACCGATGATTGATATTATTTTCTATTAATTATAAAAACAAAAAAAAATATTACATCCGATTAATACATACATAATTATTATATTTATATTTACAATTTTTTACAATCACAATAATAAATTAATTTATAACTATTTACACTGAAATAATTAATAATAATTAATAATAATAATAAATAAATATATAAATAATAATAATTTACAACTATTTAACGAAACGATATAATATTCTATGATGAGCAGAATAATACGTCCATTCTATTCCGTGTCCGGAACACGATTCCATTAATAATAATCGATATCATCATTTTCTGTATTTCCGCGATTTTTATTCGTATTCCATACTAATAAATATTTAAAAGAAAGGAAGATTGTTTGTAATTATAAATTATAAAGAAAATTGATTTCAATTTAATTAATAAATACCATTCTCAAATTAAATTTTTAATCTTAATTATTTAGATTAATTAAAAATTAAGAGTTTTTAATTTTTTTTTTTAGTTAATTTTTATTTAACAATATCATATTTTACAATATCATTGATGTTTTTTAAACTCTAAGGCTTAGAGCGTTTAAGTATTTCAAATTATCAAATTATTACGATCGATCAGATATCACGAAGCGTGGTGTCGATATCGAATTTCCAATCGATTGGTCGATAGTGTTTTTTAATGAAAGTTCAGAGCCGCCAGTTCCTTAGCAAACAGGACGCGCCTTTAGGATGAAAGTAGAACCTTTTTTTCATTCTCTCCTTCTTTTTTCTTTTTGTTTTAACCCTTTGCAGTCTAATTACATTCGTACTTTATTCGCTCCGTACATATTTTTTTTTTAAATACGATTTAATTCCTCGACAAAGGTGGCAGAACGAAATTAAAACGAGAAACCATTTGTGCAAGAGACATTATCAATAAATTGCAATAAATTTCCATCCCTTAACATTTATACTCTTTGTATTAATAATCATTCGTAACAAATTATTTCTTAATGCAATTCACCTGCCCGATATCTTTTAACAACGAATACCAATTATCGAATCGAAAATTGAATATGGAATATGAAATTAATCTCCTTCAAGTTCTTTATTAACTCTGAATATCTTCCTTTCTAATAATCCTTTCTCTACCTTTCACCTTTCAAACTTTTTTATCCCTTCCGCGATCGGAAACGATCGGAATAAAGTACTTGCACATATACCAATTCGATGGGAATCGGTCTATATATCTCGATGCACGCTATTCAAATAAAACTACGATTTCATGCATCTATGGCGCGCACAATATCCGCGCTAGTAGTACATATTTAAAATAGAGCCGGGGGAATCGATAGTGTCGGCATAAAGAAAGGTCATCGCTGATTGCGTATTTATAACGCAGTTAACAAAAAATCACGGCACGCCTTTTGCAGAGGATTGAAGCGAGTAATCGCGCCGGAAGAGGGACGTCGCCATTCGAACGCTTTATTATTTTCACGTCAATCGCAATGGAGCTGCGCTGCTGCACTCTCTAAGTCAGGTGCTTACACGTACAAACACTTAAAGAGACTATTTCGATTACTTTCTTTATTGGTGAATCGATTAAAAAATTGTTTTGTTGTATTATTTTGAAAGGTCTCTCTTTTTTTAAGATTCTCTTTCATGTTAATCCCTTTCTATAATATCTTCGGTGTTATTAAGTTGATGGAAAGTAAGAAAGTAAGAAAGTAAGAAGTAAATCAATTTAATGCAGTCATAATTTATAATTTTATCAATTAATTTTGAATAAAAACGTCCTATCAAATCAATTGAAATTTATTTTGTAATTTGTAAACATATCCATAATATAATTATTCATAATATTTTTAGGGTAGGGATATATTTAGAATAGGATATATTTTAAAAAATATTATCATTCAATTGCTTGATCTACAATAATTTCTAAGTTCAAACGAAAATACTATATTTTATGAATAAATACTATTCTTGTAAAATAAATTTATCATACAGGATAATACATCATCCATTTGTTTGTTATCGGAATCAAAAATCGACATAACTTTTTCATCAATTCACTAGGAAGACAAAGTGTTTGCTTTTGAATTCGCTGATGTATAAAAGAATTGAAGGTATCGCAATAAAATATTCGAATATCGAATCGAAATCGTGTCATCTGCGACAATAAAAAAAATTTGATCGAAACACCAAGCGAGAATATATCCATCCCTTATCCAATTATACGTGAAGCGTATAATGAAGCGAGAATAAAAGAGGAGAGAATCTGTCCACGCGTTATTTCATATTACGAGAGAAAATTATATTATAGGATAGTATGTTTGCAATGTTTGAAGATCGTCATAAAATCGTACGAGTCGAGGGAGATTTCGATCGTAGTTGTCTACGATGACAAAATGACCGAGACAAGTAGTAAATGTTCGCGTATTTTCCGGCTAACGTGTACAATAGTAGTATGAACTGTGATAACAGGTTCCGGTATATTCCTGTGCATCGTTGGTAGCCTTTTATGAAACATTATTAGCTAGTTTCCACGAGGAGTGATCAAATCCAATATCGATTTGTGTAACGTCCGATATATTGTTTTATGCGCATGCTATTTTTTTTCTTCTTTTTTTTTTTTTTTTATAGATAGCCGTTTAGTT